ATTGGTATTATCGTCAACAAAAAATTTCTCGGCACCAATTAGATATGCTTTACTACTATTTCACTTGTGAAAAAAAATAGTTAAAAATAAATAATCTATCACAATCGTATTATGAACAACCACGAAAAGAAAATAAACCTTAACTCACTTATTTCTACTCGTAATTTTTTGGCTGAGATTATGCAAATTGCTCAGAGTAATCTTTTGAAGTTTGTTATGAGTTAGCCAAACATACCATAGTAAAAATCTTGACTGTGCGAGGTTTGGAAGTCCAAGCCACACCGAAAGAAATATTTCGTTTAGCCGAAGAGGAAGGATTGATTCCTAGTTCAGAAATTTGGTTTAAATTTACTAAACAAAGAAACCGTACTAGCCATGCTTATGACAGCGAAACAGCTCAGGAAATTTTGGCCAATTTACCTGAATTCCTTCATTACTTGGATTTGCTAATTACTAAATTAAAACAATTACCCGAATGCTCCAATTAAAAGAAAGCCACTACCAAATAATCCAACAAATACTAAGCCGATATCCTTATTTTTTTTACGCTTATGGTTCTCGTACTAAGGGTACGGCGAGAAAGTTATCGGACTTGGATATTTGCTATCAGGAAGAAATACCCGACGCCACGGCTTTTTTAATCGAGGAGGAATTTAAAGAGTCTGATTTGCCTTTTAGAGTAGAACTAGTAGCCTGAAAAAATATGCGACCGGCTTTTCAAGCAATGATTAAACCCGATTTAATTTTAATTTCTTTTCCACACCAGGCAAAGCATTCGGGAAGTTAACAAGACAAATGTGATGATTTCACAACTTGTGCTGAACAAAGAAAAAATTTTTCTTTATTTACTAGTTAATCAGAAAGTTTTATTTTCATTCTTAAACCTTTCATTATCGATAATTAAACATCCAAAAAAATCCCTTCTAGAAAATAGGACAAGCGGGAAAGTTTTTTGTTTGTTTTCTGTTTAATTCTTGGTTTTTAGTTTCCTGTCCTGATTTACCACTCTTCACAACATTTTTATCGTCTTTCAAGACTAGACAGAACCAACTTAGTTTTATAATAAAAAATCCATCCGCAAATTCCCTTACGGATACCTTGTTACGACTTAGCCCCAATTACCAATCCTATCCTTGTCAACTACCTCCCGTAGGGGTTAGTTAGTTGGTTTCAGATATTACCGGCTTTCGTGACTTGACGGGCGGTGTGTACAAGACTCGAGAACGTATTCACCGCCACATGGCTGATTGGCGATTACTAGCAATTCCGACTTCATGGAGGCGAGTTGCAGCCTCCAATCCGAACTGAGGTTAGTTTTTTGGGATTAGCTCCCCCTCGCGGGTTGGCGGCCCATTGTCCTAACCATTGTAGCACGTGTGTCGCCCAAGGCATAAGGGCCATGACGACCAGACGTCATCCTTTCCTTCCTCCTGATTACTCAGGCAGTCGGCTTAGAGTGCCCGGCTTAACCCGCTGGTAACTAAGCCCAAGGGTTGCGTTCGTTATAGGACTTAACCATACACCTCACGGCACGAACTGACGACGGCCATGCAGCACCTGTGTTTGGATAACCTCCGCTGTGTTTCCACAGTTTTGCCAAACATGTCAAGCCTTGGTAAGGTTCTACGCGTTGCATCGGATTAAACCACATGCTCCAGTGCTTGTGCGAGTCCCCGTCAATTCCTTTGAGTTTCACTCTTGCGAGCGTACTACCCAGGCGGAGTGCTTACCGGGTTACCTAGCGGCACTGAACTAACGTCCAATGTCTAGCACTCATCGTTTACGGCGTGGACTACACGGGTATCTAATCCGTTTTGCTCCCCACGCTTTCGTGCCTCAATGTCAGGACCAGAATAGTTAACTGCCTTCGCCTCTTTGGTGTTCTTCCCGATATCTACGCATTTCACCGCTCCACCGGGAGTTCCGTCAACCTCTCCTGTCCTCGTAGTCTGCTAGTATTAGCAACTTCCACGGGGTTGAGCCCCGATTTGCCACTGCTAACTTAGCAGACCATCTACGCACCCTTTACGCCCAATAATTCCTCGGCTAATGCTAATTTATTTTTTAATGCTTGGTTTTCGTTTTTGATTTCCTGGCATCCGCGTTCAAT